ACGGAAATTGGTTCTGTTTTCGTCCACACTCTAATTGATCCACAATTAGAGCTCAATCTCCTGATCACAGAGATGATACTTTGAGATTTTCTGGGCTGGAGAACTCGAATCTGTACTCCACTTATCTCGAAATCCTATTGGTTGAGGGGTAACCAATAGAAATCAAGTGATGGAAAAAAACGACTTTCTTAGGGTAAATCAAGACGACGAGTTCGAATCTGAGCTGTATTCGCCCCAAGTCATATTGGGTGAGCAATAGCCAATAGAAGTCAAGTGTTTATAGGAAAGATTTGCCAGGATAATTTTGATATCCACACATTCTAGAATGACTCATCTGTCTAATTCACTTTTTGAAGTACACATAACTCTCGGATTTAAATCCGAGGTTTCCACATTTATTTGATCAAGTATCGAAGGGGGTATCACTTGTATAGAATGCCATTTTTCACAGGTAGGGGAGGAAAGTTACCAGTGGCCAGATATAACTAGTAACGGGAGAAGCTACCCATTACTTTTTCCAGGGAACNAATTCCGATGACTGAATCCGATGGAATCTCGATTGTCGGAATCCGATCGGATCTCAATTGATTCCCATAATTTCCGACGTATTGCGATTACCGGATTCCGATGAAATCCGAAGGACGGATCCGATAGGATTCATTTGTCGGAATCCAGTCGATTCCATCAAGTTCCGAGAAGTTAATCGTCGAGTTGCAATGGAACATATGTTTTGCATATAAATTTATTACTAATTAAATGCTTTTTAGATTCCAACGAAAAAAACGAGTCCAGGCATGCTGATGAATGAGCAAAATGAAGAAACATTATTACAAAATGATTACCGAAGTACTATTTTGCAAATAAAACTGAATGCTTTCTCATGCTTAATATTTATCTCGTTACTGCAATAAGAATGAAAGCACTAAATCGATTAGAGTGTTGCATGAGATTAGTATTATAAACATTTAACTGAGTACAAGACTTTAACGCTCAATCAGTAATAAATAGGCATCAAATACTTCCGATATGAGCAGTGTGCATGGGCAAGAGTTATTGAGGCAAAAAGAATTTCTCATATCATAATATTTTAACTGTATCAATGTACAGAATACTGATCAGTGGTCTCTTTTCGTTATGGTATGTTCCTATTATTTGTACTCGTGTGCTTTGTCTGAGGCATCAAACTTATTTGGCAACAGTTCTTCTCTACCGCTTATTAATTACATGGCAAGCTTCTTTTCTTTATTCATTTTGTTTTCGACTGAGGGCTGATGCTTTCTCGTGTTAGTTACAGAGTGAGACAAAAACGTAGATACTTGCTAAAAAAATGTCTTCTTCTCCTTTATTACAGATCTAAGAAGGCTCTAACTGTGATATAAAATATTTTGCAACCACATGAATAACACGCTAAATTTTTAAAACTATGCACACCAGCAGGGAAAGCATATAGCTGGTACTCTAGAGAAGCTCTTTTTGTGTGACCAATAGAATTTCTTGTATATATAAAGAAATACCTAGAATAGTAAGTTTTATCGTAAATACAATATCAAACACTACAGTAATTTATATTTTCCTCTTATTATAGTTGTTTTCTATGGGTTGAAGGATCTTCACTATTAATAACACACTATAATATTTCGCAGCATCGAATTCATCCAGCTTCAGCACCATTACAAATTGAGTGTCTTCCATATGAGAAAATTCATCAAAATGAAAGACCGATAATCAGTAACAAACATCCTTTTACACACAGTCAATTAGATATGACCACTTTTCCGCCAACATATTACAGATACCCAATTAACCTTTTGGCATAATTAATTCAACTGTGCTCTGCCAATATTTTCTCTTTTCATTTTCTTTCATGCCACTCTTTTTTATGGCTTCATGCAAGTCTTCAGTACTATGTATTTTTCAGTCATGTGAACAGAATCTTCTCTATAGTATGAGCCATATCATTTTTCCTTAAGCTAGTGCTGCGCTTATGAACATTTAGGATCTTATTCAGTTATCTGTAAAATATTTTCTATCCTACTTAGAACATTCAAGAGTTTATAATAACAGAGAAAAAAAGCACTTCTAGAAAGTACTAAAACTTTGACCTTAATCCATAGGTGTACGGAACTCAGATTATAACCATCGCCCTGTCAGTTGAAGATTATAGTGACAAGGACATAGAGATATGGGGTATGGGTGTAAGGGTATGGCCATAGGAATATAGGTATAAGGCTATAGGCATAATAGTATAGTTGTAAGGCTATAGGCATTAGAGTATAGGGGTAAGAATATAGGTATAAGGGTATAGGCATAAAGGTATAGCTGTAAGGGTATACGCATAAGCGTATAGTTTAAGGATATAGGTGCAAGGATAAAAGCATAAGGGTATAGGTGTAAGGGTATGGGTATGGGTATGGGTATGGGTATGAGGGTATGGGTGTAAGGCTATAGTTTACGGATTATTAATATCTTTTCACTGTATTTATTGACTATATCTAGGTTTCTCTCGCGTTTGCTTTCTCAATAAGATGATGAAAAGGGCAGACAATGGATTTTTTACCATGGTAAACAAAAATCTTAAGATTTGTTATATATTTAACAGATGATAGTGAATCAGAAAGAGAACAACCAGTGAAGCCTAATGATTAATATCCGATTGGATCCTGTCGAATTTGTTACATTTCGTTGCAGGATCCGATAAAACCTTAGCGGATCCTTTCATCGGTACTTGCCGGATCCAATAAGATCCTTTCCCAGTTAAATGTCTGTTGGATTCCGGAGTACTGGGTTCTGGACTCAATCCGATAGAATCCGATCGGGTTAAGTCGGAAGCTGACTATTTCCGACATAACCCGACATTGAATCCGATCGAAGCCGACAAGATTCAATGGTCGGATTTCTCGACCTGATGTGTTATTTTTACAATACAGGACACTCAGAACCAAAATTAACATCACAAGTTACTACTACCAGTTATGCACGGTTGTGACGGAAACCTACTAAAATTCGACCGGTACACCAATGCCACCAATGCTACAGTAGACGGTTCATCGCCACCATTGCATCTCTCTCTAGTTCCAATCATCATAATTCAAATATGTGAAACCGGAAAATGCATCGGGAACCTACAATGAAGATTGGTTTTCTCCATTATTCACATACTATTCTGCTAAGAAAAGTT